CAGGCGCCTCATGGCGTGATGACCTGTTTGTTTGCTTGTTTCGTTGCTTGTTTGCTTGTTTGGTTGCTTGTTGAGTTATTTGGTTGCTTGTTTGATTCTTTGGTTCCTTGTTTGATTGCGTGGTGGCTTGTTGGATTGTTTGGTTGTTTGTTTGCTTGTTTGTTTGTTGTTTTAATGTCTTGTGTTGTGTTGTGTGTCATGCCGTGTGTGTGTGTGTGGTGTGTGTGGTGTGCGTGTGTATTTGCTTGTTTGTTTGTTTGTGTGTTTGTTTGTTTTGTCTTTTTGTCTTTTTGTCTTGTTGCATGTTTCTTTGTTTGCGTGTGTGTTTTCTTGCTTTGCTTTGCTTTGCTTTGCTTGCTTGTGTTTGTTTGTTGGTTTGTTTGTTTGCTTGCTTGCCTGCTTGCCTGCCTGCCTGCCTGCCTGCCTGCCTGCCTGCTTGTTTGCGTTTTGGGTCGGTGGGTGGGTGGGCGGGCGGACGGGTTGAGTTGGGTTAGGTTGGGTTGGGTTGGGTTGGGTTGCCCTTGGATACACCGAATCGAGGCCCTATAGCTCGGTTTCATGCCGGACCTCTTGAATATTGAGAGGCAAGGGGGGTCAAACTTGTTTAGGACTCATCCCAGACAGTTTGTTTCAGACCTTTCCTAAGGGTATCAAACCAAAGACGCGTGCAACTGACAGGGGCATCAGTCTGCGCGGACTACAAATGCGTGCTTCTTCGCGGATCCCTTGTCAAGATCCAAAGGGATCCGAACATTTTGCGACACATCCCTATTCTAGGGGTTGGTTCCCCATTCTTTTCGGCCATCGTTCTATTCGAAAACCAGCCGTTTTCCCGGGTTTCTGGAGGATTTCTAGAAAGAAGGATCCCTGGAAAGAATGGGGGAGGTACCCCTAGACCTATGCTGTTGCTCCAAATGCAACGAGGCCCCCACTTTGACGAAGGTTTGTAAAGCAAACCAAAGGTACACCACCCACCTTGGGCCCGGCAGGTCAAAAGTGTGGACCAGATCCGTTTGGATGAAACCTTCATGGGATAAGCCACCCACCGGTTTCTTGGATGTGTCCCTGGGTTGATCAAAAGGTCCGTGATACATGGGATGACCATCGGGGAAGACCTTTCGAGAAGATGATCTTTCCCACTCATCTTCCCACTCAGCAGGAAGCAGTTGTTCGGCCACGAACTTTGATCCAGGGGGGCTCGTTGTGCCATTCTTGGTGTAAAAATGATGGACCCCCTTGTAGTGAAGCATTCCTTGTTGAGGGGCTCGCCCATTTTCTCACAAAAGGTGGCATTTAGGACCCCCTGCCTTACCCCCACGTCCCCAACCCACTTGCCCAGTGGCGCCCTCTTTTCCCCAACAGCTGAAAGCTTTGGGGTCTCAATTCAGATAGGCTCCGGGGTGGTCCGGGGCGGCCCTGAGGTAAGGTTCCACCAGGGTTCCACCAGGGTTCCACCAGGGTTCCACCAGGGTTCCACCAGGGTTCCACCAGGGTTCCACCAGGGTTCCACCAGGGTTCCACGAGGCTCCGGGGTGGTGCGATCACTAAAAAGAGCACCGCATGCTGTTGGGGATATCAACTGAGCTTATTCCTTTTTTTGGGAAAGGGTTCCCCTTGAAACTCAACCAACCAAAAAGGATGCCCTTGAATTCCCATGGAAATCCACTGGGCATCTGAGCCAAGGCCCTTCTAGGAATTCACGCACCACAGTGGCCATAACCGCAGCGCTGTCAGGCTGCCAGTGCCTCAGGCACGACCTTGGCAGATGCCTTGGCCTTGGCACCAGAAAGTACCGCGGCTCGGCGCATATTTTTGACACATGGGTCAAGCTACCTGCACCCTGAAACTACCCTTAAAAATGAGAGAACAAACCCCATAATGTTGGGGCAGTCGCCCATTTTCGAGAATGGTAGTTTGGGGGTGCAGATAGATGCTTCTTTCCGACCCCCCAACTGGCGACTCAAATCGAAGATTCTGGTGTTGGTCTTTGCTTCTTCTGTGAGCAAAAGGAAAAGCAACATGGAGTTTTGGGATGGCCAATGTGAGTGTGCAATCTGCGACCGGAAAAATCCACGAAGGTTCGTTTCATAGAGGTGGTGAACTAGGTACCATTTGCTTCGACTTGTGATGCGTCACCAGACCTTGGACCATGAAGCGAACACCTCAGCAGGGGCTGTTTACAAGATGGGTTGCACCTGCCAGCCCACAGGGTATTTCTTTTTGCCCCAAAAGCAGAACAATACCCCAGGAAAAAGAGCACTTCCTTTTCATTCCCAGGGCTTCGCAAAAAGTCTGCCCCAGATCTGAGATACCATACGTAGATAGCTATTCTCCCTTGTTCCTTTTAAAACAGGTCGTTGTCTTTGGGTGTCCACTCGGGTAAATGTGTGCCTAAAGGTGTGAGCTATCTGAGGTTTGCCACCCTGAACACGAGGGACCGGCAGACGTGTCCAGCTTGCCCACCCGTGGCGAGCTCTGAAGGTTCGGCGAAACGTCCACAAATAAAAACCCAGAAGTTTGAAATTGGGGGGGGGGGGATTCCGACGTATGTGTCTTCTTTGTTTCACAAAGACCGCAGTGTTTGTTTTTCGGATTTTGACGCCGGCGCCTTGCAATGCCAGTGAATTCGAAGCAAGCGTTGTACACCAGTGATTGGTTGGGCGCGGGAATTTTCCGTGACGGACGGCCTTTCACTCGACATCTGACTCCGGACGCTTGATTCTCCATTCGATATCCCCAGATCTCCAGTGCCCAGTTTGCCCTGGGGGTTAGGTGTTGGAAAGGGCGCCGGTTTGTTTTTTCCATCAGCTGGAGGTCTCGGGATCCGATGAATGATGTTGTAAGAAAATACATATATATATATATATATATATTCAATATGCATATGTCTGGGGATGTCAGGCATCCGGTCGTCGATGCGGGTCACTCTGGCGGCTCCGCGTTCCGTGCTTCCGCCGGAAGCTCCCGTATCTGGAATTCTCGAGGTGTCGTCCGTAACCGGGGGCCTTGGTTCGGCTGGGTCACAGAGAGACCATCGGATGAGCCGAGGCTCAGTGTTCTTCCGTCCTCGCTTGGCGGGTTTCTTCGACATTTTCTGCCAGGAAATCTTGGCAACTTGCTGAAACGGCCGGGCAACGGGAAGGCAGTCCCGAAAGAAGTGAAGGATTGCCCGTCTTTTTCGGCCACTTGTGCTTGCTTGTTCCCAAACGGGCTGCCAAGCAATAAATGCACTGGGCATTGCTGGGCGGAGCTTTTTCCATTTCTTCAGAATGGCGCGTCAGAGTTCCAGCGCAATTGGTGGCATTGTGCTTCCACTTTTGACTTCGCCCAGCCAATACGAGGTTGTCAGGGTTGTGCAAGTGAACAACTCTGGCTACCCTTAGCCAGTTCATTCTGATCGCTGGTGATTCGGCGATAGAACTGGTACCCCGGGTTGGGCTCTTTGCTGTTCTGGGCCTCGGCTTTGTGCTGCTTTTGTCGCCGCCTCGGTTGACGGAATCCCAAATGTCAACAGGGGCCGGCGCGAGCCCGCCCGGGTTTGTTGGAAGTCGGAAGGTCCGGCTGGGACGGAAGGTCCCGCTGGGACGGAGTTTCCCAAAGGGGGGCACGGACTTGGTCACTGGCCTGGGAATTTTGTTCATTGCATCGACCCTTTGACCGAGTCCACCGGGTGTTGGTTTTGCTCAAAGCAGTGTTTTTTGTTTTACAGACGCGTTTAGCTGACTTCGGTAAGCTGATGGCGGATTTTGCATTTCTCTGGTTCGTGTCCCAGACCGCCAGTTTTCCCAGTTTCAATTTGTCTATGTTCCTCTGGGGTGGCCTGCATTGCTGAGAGCAGCCTTCGAGAGCATCACTCAAACATGTGCCATATGCATATGTGTCTTCTTTTGTTGAGAGTACCCCCAAGCTGTTGGAGTTTTAAGGGACTGAAATTGAACCGGTCATTTTTGGGGGTTTTAAGGGACCGTGAAATGGAGCTTTCGTCAGGTTTTTGGGGGTCCCCTATCTTAACACAAACCCATATTCAAAATACCTCTCGGGGTTGATGCTCAGGGAGGTTTTGGCCGGCCTTTCTCCGCAAACGGCGCCCGGCGCCGGAATTTCGGTGCATGTAAATTCAAGCGTAGGGATCAGTCAGGGCGAATTGCAAGGCACGCGCTGAAAGTCAAGCAAATACAAAGACTGGAACCCATAGGGCCAGGCGCTTTCGGAGATCCGCTAGAGGTCTCCAATGAACAGGTTCTCTAGCCATGCGGTGTTAATCTTGCAAGACGTGCCTAGTGCATAGTCTCCCGGCCTATGGTTTTCTGGGACCAGCTGGGATTGATCCCGTTTTGTTTGAGAGCCCTGCAAGGCATCCGCAAATTTGTGTCAGCCAGTCCCACCAAAAGGCGCGAGCGAATCACTGTTGTTTGTTGTACGCTGCCTTTTCCTCTTGTCTGTCGGTTGTCGCTTTTTGTTGCTGTTGGTTGGTTGTTGATTAACTGTGCGTTGTTGTGTCTTGATTGTTCTAACTAAACTTCTGTTTTAACTTACACTTGTGCGTATATGATCATTTCTTTCATTGTCTGTGGTGTTTGTTTCCTTTACATTTTTTTTGCTGTGACTCGGATGGGCTGGTATTTTTTCGAGCGTACCAATTTTTGGGTTGGCTTAGGGACACCAATGGGTCCATCCCGGCAAAATGGCGGGTTGGGTCCCCCAAAAGAAGACACAAACGTGTCTTCCATTCGTAAGAATATGGTTTACTTTCGCCTGTTGGGTTTTAAAGGGAATCAATTTCACTACTGGACATATTTTCTCACCATTTTGTTTCCTGGGGACGGATTTCCGCAAATGGAAGGTTTGGCGTCCATGAAATTTGTGTCTCGTCGACCGGCGCTTGGGCTCATTCATAGCCCTCCTCAGCAGTCGGAGGCGGGATCCAGCGAAGTCGGTCGCCGGTTTTGGCCCTTTGTCAATCTACCCTAAGGCTCCTGGGGCTTGGTACGCAGTACCTGGAAGGCCCGATACCGCACCCCCAAATTGCTTTCGGGGTCTCAAAGCAAGTTATTTTGGAGAAGCAGTTGTTATCAGGAGCCTTAGGGTAAACAACTTCCTCTCAACGATGGGCTTTTAGATCCATGTCAATCGAGTCTTCCTGTGCAGATTCTCCACTGTTCTACAGATTCTATAGCTCTTATTTGTTCATTTACCCAAAGGAAACCAACAGATGAGTGGGGGTTTGTTCCCGCTCAAGCAAACATGTATAGATGTTGACCCCATCTGATGGGTCATTTTGCTCCAGATCTGAAGAGCACGTCCGTTGGCGCCCCAGGCATGCTGTGGGGCCTGGAGAGCTCTTGAAGGACGGGCTTTGGGGCTGGAAGGACTTGGAGTAATTTGAACGGATCGGCGTTTTTCCCGTGGAAAACCTGAAAAGCTTGGGTGATCCTCCTAGCTTTTAGCCTAGAAACAACTTGGTGGCAAGCCCTGTCATCCGGTTCCTTAGCTTTTCGCCTTTTTGGTTGGTTTAGTGGTTGGGTTTCCATTTAGGCCACTGAGAGTTAGTGACTTTTAGCAGGACAGCTGGGCAAACCCAAATGAGTCATGACCACCGCTGGAAACGGATGCACTGTCCATCCACTTCGCATGGATGACACCCTGAGACTGGGAGAAACAAACCAACTGGTGCAAACATGTTCCATCCGCAGCGACTTGCTTGGGAAACGGAGCCTTTTGATGGGCGGATCTTTCGTCTTTCGCCTTTTGCGAAAAAGGTCTCCCAAGGGAAAGTCGTTACGGAGGGGGAAAAGGCCCCCACTTGCCCAAGATGGTTGCGGAACATGGGCCGCAAAGTGGAGGCAGTCGTGGGAATGGCAACCACTTTGGTATCGTTAAATATTATTTCTGACAACCATAGCGAACGGAAAGAACACCCGAGAATCAAGACACCTCTCTCCGTTCCATTTGTTACATCACCTTTGGTTCAAATGAAAGTGAGGTTCCTTTTGGCGGGGTGATGTTTGACAAGGATTCCAGAATGTGCATGTTTGGCGAGGGTGCCCTTTTTGGGTTTGTTTTAGGAGTCCAAGTCCCCATGTTGATAATACCCATATGGCTGTGAATATGGCTGTGTATTGTCCGAGTGGCTGGTGGACGTGAATCTCCACCCCAATGAAAATGAAAAAACACAGAAAATGGTCGATCTTTGGGGGGGGTGTACCATATATATATATATACATAGTATACATACATATATACAGGTATGGATGAATACAATCGGCGTTTTCGAGGCTCAGTACCCAAAGTTCAGGGGGTGCTGTTGAGTCCTGTACCCTCCCCCAGACGAACATGGAAGTTCCCAGGACCCCTTTGGAAGACTTGGTTTACAGAAACCTTCTGGAAGCCTCCATGTGAATGTTGACCCCGGACTACCTTGTTTATGAATATGCGGGGTGTTCCTCTCCAAAAAAGTGGTTTGAATCCCCACTAAAAGCGGAATTGGACACCTCCATGTGAATCAACAGGGGTTTATTCATCCGGGGTCAACATTAGCCTGAGGGAGTGTACCCCCTTTGGCGCGAGCTGCGAGCGGCGAGGCCATGATGCCTTTGGCCTCCAGCAACTCCAGGCGAGATCGACCTGATCAGAGGGTAGCGCTTGAGAGTACTACTTTGGTTGGTTGGGTGGCTGGGTTGCTGGTTTGGTTGGTTGGTTGGTTGGGTGGGTGGCTGGCTGGCTGGCTGGCTGGCTGGTTGGTTGGTTGGTTGGTTGGTTGGGTGTCTTGCTCTTTGTTTTCCACTTTTCAACGGTGATATTGGGGGTGGTTTCAGCAACCAACTTTTGGGCCCCTGAATGAAATGCCTTTGGGTGCAGTCATGTCATGGCTGTCTTTTGGGAAGACCAGACTGGGTTCAGGCGTCCTTTTCTTACGTAAAGTGGAAGGCCAGGCGGCGTCCTTTTCTTACCCAGAGGCTCCTGGGGCTTTCAATGGAAGACCCGGCTTCTCCATTAGACACCCCGGGAATTGGTAGTTCGGGGTCTCACAACCTGGTTGCTAGGCCCTAAATCCATCGAATTGGAGCCTCTGGGTAACTAAAGTCGACTTGTCATTTTCTGTTGGTTTCAGTTTACCGTTGCTTCGAGCCTTTTGAAGCACAAGGCAAAGCTGGTGAAGGGAGTTCCGTGATTTCCCTTTTGGAGAGCAGCCCTGGATGGAACTAAGCTGGTTTCAGCTTGTGTCCACCTTTGATGGGATCATGACCCTTGCTTCCATTTGCTTAAGTTTCTTTTTTCCCCCTGTTGGTTTTAAAGGGAATCTATCACTACTGTATTTTTTCCCCAGGGGGCTTAAGCAAGCGGCTTTGTAAGGGTGATGGAGATATCAAGTATCTATTCCCGAAGGATGCTTAGGGGTGATGGGTCAAAGGGATTCACCCAGAGCCAATACGTCGCTCATTGATACGCGCGGTCGAAAGATGCGATTGCCCTATTGGACTTGGGGCAAATCGTGAGTCC